AGCTGGGTAGGGAGGACTATGGCCTCAACCAGGATCACCCATGTACCTGCCATGCTGCAAGATTTTTCCTTTGTCAATGAAACAGATGCTTTTGAAAACCTTCATTTTGCATCATCATTCACTTTTCTATGGTCCACTGTGGTGGGCTGACTATGGCCGGCTGCCAGGCACCCACCCAGCCACTGTCATTCCCAGTCCTCAACAGGACGGGGGAGAAAATAAGATAGAAAACCTCAAGAGTCAAGATACAGACAAGGAGATGGATTACTTAGCAATTATTATCAAGGGAAAAACAGACTCACCTTCAGGAAAATTAATTTATTGTCCATTAGAGTTGGATGGAGAGAAATAAAGACAAAAATAAAACAATTCCCTTCTATCCCCTTCTTCCCATCTTCAATTTCACTCCTTCTTTCCTGGCTCCTCTATGTCCTTCTTTCCACACACTGAACAGTACAGGAGGATGTGGAATAAGGACTGTAGTCAGTTCATAACACTTCATTTCTGTGCCTCCTTCCTCCACGTCTCCCTTGCTCCAGCATGGATTCTGTCATGGGCTGCAGTCCTTTGGGATAAACCCACTCCTGCATGGCCTCTCCAGTCTGCAGTTCATTCAGAGCACATCCCTGGGCTCTGGCCCAGTGTCTGCCATGGCTGCAGTGTGGATAATCTGCTCTGACACGATCATCTGGATGCTGCAGGGCACCAACCTGCTTCCCCATGGTCTTCTGCATGCGCTGCAGGGGAATCTCTGCTCCATTCCTGCCTGCTTCTCCCACCTTGCTGTCTGCAGGGCTGTTTCTCACACATCTTCCCTACCATTCTACTGCACAGTGGTGTTTGCCCTTCCTTAAATGTATTCTGCTAGGGATGCTGCCATTGTGGCTCTGGGGCTCAGCTGTGCCATATGGTGAATTGTTAGGAGCCATCTGAACTTGATGTGTCCTACACAGGACAGCTCTGTCCTCTGCTCACAGTGATTCTTCTGCATCCCCCACTGTTCAGTACCTTGCCACATAAACCCAGTACAAGCATCATGACACCTCTAGCCGCTTTATTCAAAAAAATGCAGGAGACAGAGAGGGGTATATATGTTGTCATTACATGCTGAGCCATGCCTGCTAGAAAAATATCAGTGTCTATGGTCTTCCCTATGGCCTAGATCTGAAAAATGCAGCAGTATTGTTATTTTTTTCCAAATGGGGACAAACACAATTGATGGAGTCATAGTGCCTATCTGCATGTGGTTGATAGGGCAAATCCCCTCTCTCACTGGGTAATACAACCTTACCCAGACAGTGAAAGATCACATTGCCAGTTCAGGCATGCACTTTTCATCATGCCACAGCATGATGGAGCATTCCTTTGGTAGTCTTTCTGCAGGCAGAGATGGCTGTGAAATTTGTAAGTGCCAATGTTGTGAGCACTTTGTGAATAACTGGAGCCTGATTTGCTCTTCATTACCGATGTGAAGATGCAGGAGAAAGATGTTACTGTGTCTACAGCAGTTTCTGCAACAATTGTCCTCCCAGCCTACAGGAACTACTAGCACAAGTAATGCACAGAAGGAGCTCAGAATCTGAAATGCTATTTTCAGCCTTTTTAGTAACAGTGGTGATAACTCTCACCATGATTTAAAAAAAAAATCTATTAAATGATTGTTAGTGAAAATTTTAGGAAAAAAAAATTACTTGTCTCATAAATCCATGATGGTTTTCACAGGCATTATTGTGATGCTTGCTTTCTAATTCAGCTGCTTTCTGTCTTCTCTTCTGGCCTTTGATGAGTCAGAACCCATGCAAGGACTGGCATTGTTGTATGTATAAATTAAGAATTTCCTTATTTTAGGAAGATATAGATGCCTTTTTCATTATTGCTGTAATCTTTTCTGAAGGATAACTTATGGATGAAATCTCATAACAAAACTACACATATGACAGCTGAAACTGCATAACCTTTGCTGGGAATAATATATACCTCTGTAGGACAGTGAGAGGAATGATTTCTCATGCTAACAGTGTGTATGGAAATCTGCATGGCATCTTCTGGATAGAATGGCCTGAGTAACAACAGCTGATACAACAGCAATATGAGTGAGTGAATGGAATATTCCAGACAAACTATTCTAAGGGATGTTTGCCCAAAAATCTGATACTGCAAGGAAGAAAGTAACAATGATTGAGTTTGCTTTGGATGACCTTCATAATGATTAAATTACAACAAACAAATTATCAAGATACTTTAGATAAAATAAATCAATTTGAAAACTGGAAAAAACTTAAAAAGTAAAAAAAAAAAAAAAAAAAAAAAGCTTGAAAATTTGTAAATGTGGAGAAAGTTCTTGGAGTTAGTGGAAAAGAACAGCAACTTAGTAAGATGCCATGAGCATCCAGGTACTGGAGCAACAGTCTGACACAGAGACCCACACCTTAGTGTGTATGTGAACTTGTGACATCCTTTTTCATCAGTGTGTCTTGGCAGATTGTAAGGACATACACATAAAACTGGAGAATCCATATCTCCATCAGCAGCTGTGGGTAAGAATTGAGAACTTGTCCAAAAGTGAGGTTACATGGTATGGATGCAGGAAGAAATATGTGAGAAATTTAAACAGGAGCTTCAGAGGAGTGGTGAGGCTGGCAGGGAGGATAACATACCCACAGTGGGTATTAGGGGAAGACAGGTCACCTTTTAAAAGCAGAAGTGACATTGGTACACAAAAAGTTTGCATTTCAGGGCTAAAAAGAGGAGCAGAAACAGGAGCAGAAAGAGGAGTGTGGGACATCAGCAGAGAGAACATTCTGGTACATAGCTGAAAAAATGTAAAGGGTGAAAAAACTGGGGAAATATAACACAGCAGTTAACAACTAGTGCAATCAATGCTGGAACACATCATTCCAGAGGAGGAGGAAAAGCCATGCTGCACTTTAGATGATTGCCAGCCAAAACAGAACTGCATAATTAGAAAATTACACTTAAGGGGAGCTTTCATGAAAATAAATATTGTTGAAACCTCAATGCTCCCCACTCCCCAAAAAAACCCCTCCCCAAATCATAATTGTAAACATAAGAAATCTTAATGAAGAAGAGTAGGTGCTGCTTCCAGTTCAGAGGAGCAGAATTGTATAGTGTGTGAGGGAAGGGAGCAGGGGAGGTGAGGGGATTTCTTTGAGTGGTGACTGACTGTTTTCAGAAAGCTTGGACAGTGAGTGATGAGGTGAAGGCAAACCACTGCTCTGCTTTTAGAAAGCTGGAAGCTGTTTGCAGGAGGAGATCTTACATGTAGCTGCTGAGATAAAGTATTTACATCTGCCTCTTCCTTTTTAGTTTTTTTCTTTCAGCAGTCTGAATTTTAGCAGCAGGGAAAAAGGGAAATAATTTTAATGAAACAGGAGCAGAACATAATTCTTACTGAAACTAATCCCAGCTGCTTGAATAACCAAATGTCTGATAAAGGTGATTTTCTCAACCCCTTAATTTCAGGAAAAATATGTGTGACAGCATTCTGAGTGTTCTCACCTGTTCGTGGCTTTTCATATCAATGATGTATGCATTTATGTCTTCTTAGAGGAGAAAGCAACCCTGACCAGAATATTCTCCTTTCTTTGTTAGCCAAAGATAAAGTATAAATATAGGAAATGTCTCCCTGAAACAGCAATTCACTATGTAAATAACTCTCCTGTCTTAGCAGTGAGGGTGATGGAGGGCAATTCCCTTCTCTAGAACAGGAACATTCTAGTAAAGTGCTCATGTTCTAAAAAAGATAAACCCTTAGCATTAGCACATGAATGACTGTGGTAAACTGGAGTCTACTGCTAAAGATTAAATATGAGAATCCTTTTCAGTTCAGAGGCTCTAAATACCTTTATAATTTCATTTGGATATACAGGGTTGTGTGGTTGCTAGAAGAGAGCTATATAATTTAGTGATGTATAAATTGTCCTGCTTGATAGGACAGGTGTAGCAGGTGGGCAGCAATAGCTGCTCTATGACTGACCCCCCTCCCTCCCACCAGTGTACGTGGATGTGTACATGGGAATCAGAGCTTCAGCCCCACCAGCCTGGTGTAGACCAGCTAAGAACCACTGAGGGAGAAAGGTGCTTGCTCTGACTGGTTCTGTGCTGCAGCCACAGTGGACAGCTCAGCTCCTGCACATGGTGGTTCCCACCCTTGAACTTCTGCTTCTGTAGATGTTAGACATCTGTGTGTTATGACTTCCTTTCAAGCAGATAGTGCCATAATTATTTATTGCTTTCTAATGGCTTTGCTAATCTTGTAGCCTCAGACCAGCTCTTGAACTTCCTCCATCGCTGAAGCCAACCAGACGGAGTTTGCTACCAGTTGTGGTTTGTCTAACTTGTCAGGTTCTGCCCTGGTGTGCTTCAGAAAAATGGATATATTTGTTATCCAGGTCGAACCAGGTGAATCCCATCACTTCATGCTGCAAGCAACCAACAGTAGTCCATTAATCTGTGTTTCTGCTGGGTAGTATGACACCTGGAAAATGTTTAAACCAACTGTCTGCAAAGTCTCTGGGTTGTTGCTCTGGAACCTTTTGCCTGCTTGGCCTGTGGGTTATTTAAAATTGCTGATGGTCAGATAAGAAAATCAATTTATAATTGAGCCATGGGATTGATGGAAAAGCCTACAAATCAGTATCTTGGATGTTTGGTTATGTAAGCCCAAGTCTTCTAAGATGTCTCCATGGAAAGCTTAGCAAACAGTGGCTGCCTTTCAATGATCTTCATCACCTTTTTAAGCTTTCTTGACATGAGAGGGAGGTGTATGATTTGCAGATTTGCAGCTATTCCCAATGTTGTATTTCTATGAGTCATTGCTAGGAGAAGGCAATCCAGTCCCCTACCCCCTGAAGTGCAGTGTCCTTACTACAAAAGGGGCACCGCACGGGCTCCAGTGTGCAGCCTCCTTCCAACAGGAGGAACATCTTTTCTTACGTGAGCTAATTGTCAGAGATTGGATTAGATCAATGTCTTGAGACATCTTGGAGTGCCGGTGCCGATGTCCATGTCCGTGTCTGTGTCCGCAACCATGTCCGTGTCCGGATCCGTGTCACTGTTTGTGTCCATGTCCGTGTCCGCGTCTGTGCCTGTGTTTGTGTCACTGTTTGTGTCCGTGTCCGTGTCCGTGTTCGTGTCCGTGTCACTGTCTGTGTCTGTGTCCGTGTCCATGTCCGTCTCTGCCTGCAGAGGCAGGCCGGGTTTGCATGGGTGAGGCAATGCCCTGTCCCGTCCCCAGAGCCCCCGCCAGTCAGAGCTATCCCCCAATCAGACGCTGGCACAGTGCCAACCCAGCTTCTAATTGGCAGAGCTTTCCATCACTCACACATGTCAGAGCCAGTCCAGCCCCTGATTGGCTGAGCCACTGCAGTTGTATTACCTGCCTGAGGGGCAGGCCCATGGAGGTTTAAAAGGGGCTGACCGTGAGGTGGCCATTTGTCTGGACCCTGCCTTCACTGGGTTTCCACATGGGAGTTCAGGAGTTGGTGGCTATTGTATGTGTGGTTTTCTGTACCTTTTCTGTCTTTCTGCCTGTTCTCCTCATTCTCTTTACATGGAACATTTGTGGGTAACTTAACTTCTCATAGGTTTAAAAGTTTCTGGGTTGAATAGACTGAGTTTATACTAACCTAATATTAAATTAATACTAACTACTGCTATAATAAGTGTTTTATATTGAATTTGGTGTTGTATTTACTCCTCTACCAAAGTTCCTTTATTTTCTATATTTTTACCAGTAAACTTTTGTGTACTTTTGACCTTTTGAGAATATCTAGGTGGGATTTCTCCTTGCACCAAATGAGAGTAAATGAGAGACTGCCTGCTATTGCAATGCCTATAACTCCAGCTGTGGTCGTGTATGCAAGTCACACTTAAAAAGAGTCTATGTTGATCACTAAGCTGCTGACTTAGACACCATTGGAGTGCTTTAGATGGCACTTAACTCCTTTTTTCAACTGCAGAGTTGTGCCCCAAGCAATTACTTCTGGTTGCCAAGAGACTTTCCACTGTTACTGTGTCCTTGGATGTTATCCTGGCATGCAGAATGGATGTCTTGGGCTTGTTAGCATTGTCAGCCACAGGAACTCTTTCTTGTCTCTCGGAAGGGTGCAGGAAGGAGGTGAGGTGAAGAAGGATTAGGGGTTGTCTGGCATTTCCAAACCTGCAGGGCATGGCTATGAAGAGAGCTCATAGAACACTGGACTTGACTATTTAGGCAGACAAAAGTCTTTGAAGTCTAGGCTTGAGGTTTTTATCTTCAGTTGCAGCTTGAAAAAGGTGGCTGACAGTTTTTGTGCTTCCTGCTTCAACTGACCAGAAGATAAAAGAAGGCTGAGCATACTATTGCAAGAGGGAGAACGAGCTGTCTGAAGCAATTCTGAAGGATATTGAAGAGCACTTTGGCCACATGATCTGTCCATGAGGGCACTACTGTATAATGACATTAAGTGCAACACCACTGTATGGATGGATAAGTGGTGATATGACAAGTTGTTTCTGAAGTGCTACAAACTGTTCTTTGTTCCTTGAGTTGTTTTTAATCCCTGCAGGAGGAAAGTCTAGCTTTTCCCTGTTGCTGCAATTTTATAAAACCGTACATAAATGTTTTCCTGTTTCTTTCATGGCCGTTTTGTGCGTAATCTGCCCCAGCAGAAAAAGCTGGATGTGCACAAGCTCTGTGCTGCTCTGTTAATGTGACTCATGTGGTATTTCAAACTAAAAATGTGATACTATTTCCATCTTTCACCCGAGTAAGAACCTGCAACTAAGCAATATATATAGCACAGCTGCTGAACTGCAGAGTTATTGGTTATAACTTGAAAGTACACAGTCTCTGAGTATTTTGTTTTACAAAGTCCAATTTATACTGCATCAGCTCCTGTGCACCATTTGAAAAACTGAATAGGATGCAACCATTGCTTCTGGTGAGAGGGACAGCTCTCATGGGCTGTCCACAATGGTCCACAAGTTTTCAAAGACACGCTCTTCAAGAACTGAAACATATATGTATTAAATAAAAAATGTAAAAATTTTGAAACCTTCTGCTTTCAGTGATCCAAGATGATGTTAGCATTGAGATGTCAATGCTATAATATCAATGTGGCTTATGAATTCAAATGTTTTATTAACATCAGTTGTTTTTTTCTTTTTGGAAGATGTACTTATGATCATCTCTTTTACATATACAATGATTTGTGTGAGTTTTTATGCACCTTGTCAGGAACTAGGCTTTCTATACATTTTTGAATTGAACAATAATGGAGCTTGACAACATGTTGTAAACCAGAGTTTTATTGAGGCGGTGGGAAAGATGAGCAGTGGCATAGCTACATGCAAACTCACCCAATCCCCAACAGCAAACACAGCATCCTTAGTGATGCCATGGCTTTGGACTTCTGGGACACTTGGTGTTGGAGTCATCTGGCCACAGCTGCCAGTCGTGCAAGTGACTTCTGCAGGTGAGTAGGAATCCTGCTGCCCCCTGGCTCCACTGGTGGCACTGTGGTGTGAGAGAATCCTGCCTTACATGAATCATGTGTGTGGTATCCTGCCCGTGCTGCCCAGGGCAGGGTGTTGGCAATGTGTCAGTGTGCCTGATGCTGGTGGGGCCAGGGTGTCACCAGTCTGGCTGGGCTGACCATGCTGGGCAGAGGCTCTGTGTCAGGAGCAAGTCTTTCTGTATATTAAAAGTGTGTCAGTATAAGCTCTCAATTCCTTGTCAATCCTTAAGCCAGCAATTCATGAGAAACAGTGTATAACAGAGTTGGAATAGGGATACAACCAGGTAAACTGTTAGTTTGTAATGGGAGAGTATTCTGGGTTGATTTTCCACACTTGTAAATGTTTTGATTATTTTCTCTCTACCCTTCCAGTACTGCACTTCTTTCATTCTACTGCTACCCAGGCAAGACCTTGATGAATCCTAGGATGTGCAGCTAGGGACTGAAACTGGTGCTTAGATAATTCTAGTCAATATTCCATGTGGAAGAGTGTATTGATATGTTTTTTTTCAGACCAACTAAAGGCAAGAGGTTTTATAAGCACTGCTGGAACAGTGGGCTAAGGGATTCTAAGAAAAGAGAAACAAGTGTAGAAAAGAGCATACCATACACCATAGAAAAGAGCAAACAAGTGTACCATAAAGGACTGTTAAAGAACCAGATTGTTTAAAAAACTGCTTCAACCAACTTGCTTTTGATTGCAATCCTGATTGGTTTTGAGATGCAGATGTGCTCTCATACTAAATTAATAACTTTTCAAAGAAGCAGTAAGACAGCATGCAATATTTTGTGGGGTTTTTTTAAATCAATAAATAATTTCAGAGAATCTAATACAGCCCATGCTACTGCAATGACTAATCCTATTTCTTGTGTTCCTAATGGGAGCAAAACAACTGTTTTATTTGCCTTCTGGGATTTTATCTTCACATGTACAATTCAGGTTGATGAGCTAGACAACAAATACGTTGTATAGCAGCTATGCTCTTCTGGACTGCCTTCATTTATTTGAACACCAGAAGTCTAAAAGTCTGTAGTCTGAGCTTAGTGAGTACCCTTCATCTTTTCATGTACTGTTCATGTAAATGGAACTCTTCCTCTCCAAAAGATACTTCATCTCACTTGCTTTTATAAATCTACCTTAGGATGAAATTGAGAGAGATTTTATAAAAGAAATTTGAATCACCAGAAAAAAATTTACTGATGGTCTAGAGCAGGTGTTTGGCACAAAAGCACTTTTAATATTCCATGTGGGAAGCCTATGGTTAGTTTGAAGCAGCTGTGTACTGTCCCTGAATCCACTGCATAATACCTTCCCTAACTCCAAGTTAAGTTAATTCACTGATAAACTTTGGTTAAACTGACATTTAGGATTAGGTTGAAAGGAATTTAAGATAAGCAACTTGCCATTACCCTTGCAAAACACTTGTAAAATAAAGATGTGCACATTTTTAGGAAATATCAAAAACTTGAAAAAAAACAAACTCGGTCATGATTTATAAAACCATATATATTAGTTCTAAAACTGAAAGTGAAAAAAAAGAGCTTTATATATTCATTCCACCCTCACCAGAATGAAAATAATCAGGTGTTAATTTGGAGGTGAGAAATGTTTTCAGTTCTGCTTCAGAAAGTATTATTAAAACTTGATGTGAGCTAATGGCAAGCACAGGCAGCAAGTATTAATAATGCTGCAGAGCTAGCATAATCAAGTTGTAATAACTCCTTCCAAAGGGATGTTTTTGTCTTCTCTGCAGGGTTCAATTTTCTATCACAGACAGGAGGAGAGCATCTGAGCAATAGGAAAGATCAGCCTCCCAGGCATGACAGCTGTGTCTGCTCCTACTTTCAAGTTATGCTCCTTCCTCCTTTTCTGGTGACACATGTCAGATGGATTAATGACAAGTACTAGGCCTCCAGCAATAAGGAAACACTTTTGGTTTTTTAAGATCTCCATTTGCTTTAGTGCATATATATGGGCTTAGTGTGACCCTGGTATGGAGTTGAGTGTACATAATCATGCCAGGGATGAATTCACATTGCAGATAACATTTTTAGATAGATTCAGTAATCTGGACCAGTAGCCTGAAAACCCTAATTGGCAAAAATATACCCCAGTTTTTCAAGGGCAAGATCTCCTTTTGTATATAAGTACAAAAGCAGTCAGACATTTGTAACTTTCTATTACCCTGAGGGTTTGGAGCACCTATAGAAAATTCTGTCACTTTGCAAGCCTATAAGAGCAGGAACAAGAAATTGCTCTTATCAGGCTGGATCAGAGAGACTTATCACTTCAAAGGGTGAATATTCTTGATGCTTCCTGAGGTTTATGTTCCTATTTACATGAGCACTTGCTGCCTCCTGCGCAGGAGAGTTACCAGTTCTGCAGTCTGGATCAGATGTGAATTATAGGTTACTCCCTGAGACCTCATATAAGAAGGCTGTGAAAGCCCACAGATAAAGGAACATCCTGGATTTTACTTAGGTGAAAGATGCTTATATCCTTTCAGATTGTGAACCTACTTAACTCAGAGTACTGGAGAAGACTCAGTCATAGTGGTACCTGGAAGAATATGCACCATCCCTCATCTTCTGTGTGGATTACCTGTATTGCTGGTTTTTCCAGTTTCAGAGCCTTTAGGAATTGCTTTAATTCTCAGGAAAAAGAGTAAG